TTTTAAGATGTAATGAAGTTCTAAGATAACTAAATAACAACTTGACCACAACGTGTCTGTCTTTAAAACTCAAGAAACTACATGTACTTAATGATAATACACAATATGTACTAAACAATATCTAAAAGATGTGATAGTTAAAATTAAAACAATATAATTCAGAATATAGGAGCCAGAATGATCAATTCATTGATCGTGGGCCCTTAAAATAAAGAAGAAGAAGATATAATATACATGTTAATTTTAAACACATTTTTAAGTATCAAAATGTTTCGAAGAAAAACATTTGACTTTGTTGTCTCAAAACTCACTATGTAAGTTTACATGACTATTCGAACTAGTACAAAGTAAAACAACCCAACTCGATTTCTCACAACTCACTATGTACTTTACAGCACTTTTTGAAATAGACAAAGTAAAATAATCGAATTCAATGTCTCACAACTCACTGTGTGAGCCTACATCATAATTCGAATACGTTCAAAGATTGCAATGTAAATATTAAAAACAAAAGTTAAAAAAAAAAAAAAATATTTTCCAAAAAAATGTACTAAATTAAAAAAATCAGAGTTCTCACAACTGCAGTTCACTGCTCTTGTATAATTCAATTGTATTGATTTTTTTTTTCTTACATAAGAGAAAAATAGAAAAGGATATGCAAACGAAATTGTTTAAAGGGATATAATTATTGATGATTTTATATATTTAAATAAAAACCGTAATATATCTTAGATTTTTTAGGACATATTTTTACTTTGTTAAAAAATCGATTCACATAATATCTAAAATAAAAGTTTTAAAAATACTTTCTCTAAACAGAATGTTCTTTTGTTTTCTTACTTTATTATTTTGTTTTAAGAAACAATGAGATCAAGTTTATAAATTAAACTTTATTTTAATTTCAAAAGCTTAACTTTTGCGATTTATCTAACGTGCTCGTGTTTGAACACGAGATTTCTCTCGAATTCGCTCTCTACATGTAGGGATGTAACATTTCAAGTGAATAATAAGTCAACTAAATGCCATCAGCCAAGCAAACATTCAAAATACTGTCTTAGATAAGTGATCATGTTACACTAATGCTTTCTTCGGCGGCATAAGAAAAAAAATTATTCCATTAATTTTTCCTGACAATTTTTATTGGACACCAAAACCAATGTTTACCACTCAATGCAAACAAACCCTATCTTTACCACGTTATAGCAACAAAAGCTATGTTTACCATGCCATGGCTAAAAAAAACCTATGTTTACCATGTTATGCCATAAATTTATATGCTAACCACGTTATGCCAATTAAACCTTTGTTTATTACGTTACCCGAACAAAACCCTTGTTCACCATGTTATGCCTACAAACCGATGTTTACCACGTTATATCAAGATGAAACAATTTACACATAAGACTTTTTGTACAGATTTTGATTTTTTTAACGTAAAATATGTTGTAGAATCTTCAACATTTATTGAAAACTTTCAAGAATTATCAAAAATTAAGTTAAATAAAATATTATTCAATAACATTTTAGGAAAGTCATAGAATTATAGAAACATAAAAACAAAAACAAAAAAAAATGTATATTTGTATTATCTTAAAACTCCTTTTTTTGCGTTTAAGCCTATCCCTTTAGAAGAAGATGTGAACGTAGATAATTTTTTTTGGGTTTAATTGCTGTTTAGAAATGTCCCTTTTATTTAATTAGGTTTTCCAAACACTCTAGACTTGTTTCATTAAAGAAAAGTGGCGGCGGCCTAGGTGGGTATGGCCTAGGTGGGTCTGACCTAGGTGGGTCTGACCTAGGTGGGTGTGGCCTAGGTGGGTGTGGCCTTGGTGGATGTGGCCTAGTTGGGTGTGGCCTAGGAGGGTGTGGCCTAGGGGGTATGGCCTAGGTGGGTATGACATAGGTGGGTATTGTGGGTCTGACCTAGGTGGGTGTGGCCTAGGTGGGTGTGGCCTTGGTGGATGTGGCCTAGTTGGGTGTGGCCTAGGAGGGTGTGGCCTAGGGGGTATGGCCTAGGTGGGTATGACATAGGTGGGTATGGCATAGGTGGGTGTGGCCTTGGTGGGTGTGGCCTAGGTGGGTGTGGCCTAGGTGGCTGTGGCCTAGGGAGGTATGGCCTAGGTGGGTTTGGCCTAGGTGGGTATGGCCTTGGTGGATAACTTAAATGTGATATTAGAAAAAAAAAATAGAGGCTCACATCACGTAACGGGAAATTAAAAAAATAAAATTCCAACCCCATCCGTCATGGTCTTGTTGATAGTGAAGCGATAGACACACAGGTGAACTTAATGCAGCGTCCTTCAAAGTAGTTTCAACGTGAACCATGGTCTTGTGGATAGTGGAGTGATATACATACAGCTGGACTTAAAGCAGCTTCCTTCAAAGTAGTCTTATCCTGCACCATTCTGATAAAGTCTTGTTAAAAATGCGTTGTCAAAATTAAACTTTCCTCGACGTCGTTAAAATTAATCAATTTTTATTATTTTAATCTCTGCCCTCTACATTTAACGATGTTTAAATTGAAGTTTTTGAGATAATTTGATATGACTAAACTTTCCAGGAATAATCTATAGTTCAGGAAGAATAAACAATTACACCCGTAACAATAGCAATTGCTTTTCTGTGCCTCTGTGCAACACAGTGCAGTATAAACAATATTTCTTTCCATGCACAAGAGTAGTTTTGAACCACATGGACAGTACCATTGTGAACTCGACATCGGTAGAAAGTTTCAATACTGCCCTGGCATCTGCTAGGAGCTGTTGGACTAGCAATACCATTCCCCAAAACGTTGCACACATGCCAGTACATGGATGCGGCAACGAACACTACCAGAACCAGAATAGATAGGTCATGAAGAATCATTATGTTCAATTTCGTTGTGATCCATTGATTGTTTTTCGTGTGGTTAAATGACCTGTTTACAAATAACCAAACAAACATAACCACGCAGAGCTTTATATAACAGATGAAATAATTATGAGTTGCTGCCATTTCTATGACTAAATGGTGACAACCTTCATTGCATTCATATCTCTGGAACATACTTAAGGACGTATTAAAGATTATAGTATTGATTAGATATCCATTGTTTTACTTCCAGAAGTGACACAACGCTGGCCTATAAACATTTCATATCAAAACAGCACAGTTCATCAATGACACAACGCTTGCCTATAAACATTTCATATCAAAACAGCACAGTTCATCAATGACACAACGCTGGCCTATGAACATTTCCTATCAAAACAGCGCAGTTCATCAATGACACAACGCTGGCCTATGAACAGTTCATATCAAAACAGCACAGTTCATCAATGACACAACGCTGGCCTATAAACATTTCCTATCAAAACAGCACAGTTCATCAATGACACAACGCTGGCCTATGAACATTTCCTATCAAAACAGCACAGTTCATCAATGACACAACGCTGGCCTATGAACATTTCCTATCAAAACAGCACAGTTCATCAATGACACAACGCTGGCCTATAAACATTTCCTATCAAAACAGCACAGTTCATCAATGACACAACGCTGGCCTAGAAACATTTCCTATCAAAACAGCACAGTTCATCAATGACACAACGCTGGCCTAGAAACATTTCCTATCAAAACAGCACAGTTCATCAGTGACACAACGCTGGCCTATAAACATTTCATATCAAAACAGCACAGTTCATCAATGACACAACGCTGGCCTATAAACATTTCCTATCAAAACAGCACAGTTCATCAGTGACACAACGCTGGCCTATAAACATTTCATATCAAAACAGCACAGTTCATCAATGACACAACGCTGGCCTATAAACATTTCATATCAAAACAGCACAGTTCATCAGTGACACAACGCTGGCCTATAAACATTTCCTATCAAAACAGCACAGTTCATCAATGACACAACGCTGGCCTATGAACATTTCCTATCAAAACAGCACAGTTCATCAATGACACAACGCTGGCCTATAAAACCTTAGTATGAGACCATCTTTTTTAAACCAAGAAACAAAATAGACTGGGCTCACTTGTGTTATCTTACTAACTGCCTATCTCTTTGTGACAAGCATTTTTATATTTTCAAACACTACATTCATTATCGACAGCCCACTACATCCACTATATACAGCCAGCTACTTCATCATTCACAGTGCCCACATCCGTTTTGACAACCCCCTACATCTGTTATTGACAAAAGCTTACATACATTTATTTCCAAACCTTACATACATCATTTCAACAAAAAAAAACTTACATTTTTGACAATGTGCAGCTTTGAAGACCTGGAAAGCGGCCCCTATAACAATAACTGACATCCTCATTGATCTATTTTTGGCAGTACCTTACATTCGTTTGATAACTCCCTAAATCCATTATTGACAGCCTCTAAATCCATTTTTGACAGCCACAACATCCTTTATTGAAAGCCCTGTATATATACTTTTGACAGATCCCCGTATTCCTTATTTAAATCCTTACATCAGGGGTCGGCAACCTTTTGAGACGGAAGAGCCAAAAGTTATAACTTACAAAATTTCCCAAGTTTTTAAAGAGCCACTAACTAACATTTTTATTTCAATAATATGGTATTTGATTAGGGCTAGGTATATAAATTTGATTTTTGTTTTAAAATAAATAGCTTTAAATAAGAAATAATATTTATTCATATAAAAACATACACATGATTCGCACAAAACATATTAAATTATTTTAGCTAGCTCTGATAGGATGAAAAATTATTAATCAAATAATATAACTTTAATTTTTGAATAATATTTTCAATGGTTGCATCAATGGGAGCATTGGCCTTACATGCCTTTTGAAAAATGGCTAAATCTGCCTCATAACTTGTTTTCAGTTTCAAGCACGCCTCTAGATTTTCATTTGTTAGTTGGTTTCTTACTTTACTTTGTATTATATTCATGCAAGAGAACGCTTACTCGCACGAATATGTTGACCCAAAGATCATCAACACTCAAAATGCCTACCTCTTCACCTCAATGTAGCATTGTGGAAGACTTTTTCCATGCGTCAAATATAAGTGCCTCAACTCGCGGCATGCCTTTTAGAGCCGTCCACTTGTGCAGCGTAACGTGCATTCTTTTCTGGGCGTCCAACTCTTCTAATTTGCTCTTGAGTTCTGTGAACTTACCACTCCACAAATGTTTGGTTTTCAAATCCAGCAATTACATTGGAAGAGAACCAGGATCCATAATATACATTCCTCTGGGACCGGGGTCCCCATTTAATTGTTCCGAATTTGATCTATGTTAATATCAATAGGCTTAGTAATCCAACATGAATAGATGGATATTTACAAAACTTAGTAAACATGCTCTTGATTATCCATATTAAAATTCTTAAGGGTACTGAATTTATAATATCCATAACTCTGGGGCAGGAGACCCCATTTTTTTTTCATACACGAATTATATTCTTTAACTTGCCCTACATATATAAGCCTGAAATTTAGCAAGCTTATTCCTTACAGCTTACTTACAAAATTTAAGTAGGTTTAACTCTGCCCGGAAGTATCACAACTGAGGGCCCCAATTTCGTTTCTTCCCAAATATGATCTATATAAATGAAATTAACAACAAATATTTGGATAGATGGATCTTGACCAAACTTAATATACATACATGTGATGATCCATATTCAAATAAATAATATCCATCTCTATGGGGTCGGGGGCCCCATTTCATTGTTCGTAATATAAGCTTAATAAATATATCTAGGCTTTGTATTCCAACATGAATAGAAGGATATTGACCAAACTTATTATACATATTCTTGATTATCCACATTCAATTACTCAAGTGTAATTAACTCAAAGTATCCATACCTCTGAGGCCATGGACCCCATTTTATTTTTCGAATATATTCAATATTCTACAATTTCCCCCGCATATAGAAGCTTGAAATTGGGCAGGATTATTTCTTACATCTAACTTACAAAAGATAAGCAGGTTTTATTTCGAAACTCTACCTGGAATGGTCTCACATGGGGGTCTTGTATTATGTTTAATTTTTTTATTAAAAATATTATTATACTTGATTTATGTTTCTTTGTATTTAGGTGTCACTTGAATAATCACTTAACATGGCATGAGCACGGCCATATGCTGTACAAGAAATTAAACCATAGACTGTTCTACCATAAAAGAACTGGGCCATTTCAGATTAAACAAACAAGGGATTAACTTATTCTACAACGCAAAAAATTGAAAGCCTACTTATTTTCAATTTCACTTGCTAGTGTGGCCATTTATTGTCTGATATTAAACACGGAATATGCCAACTCATCAAGAAAGCTAGGTCCTTAGCACGAGCTAAACGTCGTTCCCTTGAAGAACTATTTGATGAACGATGTTATTGTAAACACATTTTGGATGATACATCTCAACATTTTCATCATATATACTTAGGATTAGCCCGTTTGGGACGAATTCTTTTAAAAGATATTAATTGTTGTTTCTATAATCTGTACTAAAGTTACAAATCTAAATTAGAACTAAGTCCCAGATGTTGGTTAGAGATCAAATAATGTCTGTTTATTTCACGTGTGAAATAATTTAAAGTGGATGTCTCATGTTCAAATTGGTTTATTTAAATGCGCAAAATGTACAATGCTACCAAAAAGCATTTCAATTTATTCGGATCAATAAAAGAGTCGTATCTTATCTTTTTAAACAGAGAAAAGCAGTTGAAAATTTAATAAATAGGGTTAGGAATTAAAACAAAAATATTAAACAGAAGAACAAAAGTATAAAAACTCAAACATTTGGGAAAATATTCATTTGGGAGAATAGTGTGATAGGGTTGGTCCACACAGTTGGTATTTTTCTTCATTTTGTAGGTCTGGCATTTAGGACAGCTGTAGAGTTTATATCCAAAGTCACTAGGCAGTGTATAAAACAAATTATCAATTTTTAAATATTTTTAAACTGTCAAAAACCTAACTTCTTGTTAGCAACAAGATGGCTGACAAGCAAATTTGTGAATATCGAAATTAATAATAAAAAAAAGGTAAAATTATTAATATATGATGATATAAAAATCCAAATATAATGCGGGAAGCTAGGGTAAGAATACGGGAGTAAACCCAAACTGTAAAATCCGGAGATGGAGTCCCGAAGTCGATCTGACGCCGATAAGAATGTCATTTTGTCAACTCCTGCATCGCAGTCAGTGCCAAGCTGTAGTGACAATTGTTATTCCCTTGGGTCCACTGGTGGCGTGGAGAGTTTGGATCTGCTGCATTGGGCAACAGCTGGTCTCCATAAATCATTGCACTGGCTAAGTAGCTATAATAGCGATGTAAAAATAAGTAGAGCAAGTTTGTTCCGCAAGGCAAAGAAGGTCAATAGGAGGAAGACTCAACCACTTCGCTCCGCAACATGGAACGTGAGAACCATGTGTCGTGGTATTGTCGTTTGCAAACGAAGCATGATGGAAGCCAATATTGAAACAAACGAATGGGTGTTCATTGCCGAACATCGCCCCAACTAAAGAACACCAGTGTTTTAAGGAGTAAAAAAGGCAGGCGATACTGGAAACGAGGCCCTTGAATCAAAAATTACAATTCGGAAATAAAGAATTTACCGGGATTCAAATATTCTCCTTCGAGAGATGCGGCCGTGATTGCCATTCTAGGATTGGCCTAGTGAGCCACTCGTCAAAGTGTAGAACTATATAGCTACTCCATTGTCTCACGAAGACGGAAAGATGCCATGTAATACCCTGTCAAGCTCCAAACATATCGTATGACGTAAATATAAAACTATGCTAATAATTATATTTTCAAAAGCTAAATCTCATCTTTTAATTTGTTATTAACGCATCTCCCTACATTAAAAGTCAAGCCTTTAAATAAAAAATTTAATGTGAAAACAAATTGCTCATGTTTTATATCTCTTCATTTCATACCTTGTTACTAACGTTTTTAATGGTGTGCAGTTGGTAAAAAGTAAACACAAAAATAAATGACGATACATGCGAACAACAAATGTTAAACTTCTTCTTATGATCAGAGGCGGCCGATTTTCGCCACAGAACGATAATTACAATTGATTTATGTTAGCATCTAAATAGATTAGCTTGAACTATACAAAACATCTAATATGTTTCAAGCATACATAAAAGAGACATGTCGTCGCCATAGAGACCGGTTCAGAGAACACCTCTATAACATAAATAAACAAGCTCTCCAAACATTTCAATAGCCCTAAGCATGAGGGAATCTCAGACATCGCAGATACTGTTATATTATATACTAATAAAACAAACAGATATGACTTATATGGAGAATAAATTAATAGCACGCTTTGGTACGTTGTCTTAATATGGAATGAACCAAACCACAATTTTACCTCGCTACCATGTTGGTTTCCTGATTGGTTATTACAATTTCGTTCAAATCAATTTGTTTCCACTGTACTTTACTTTGTTTCTGCCTGTATTTTTTCGCCCACTCCTATTTTTCTCCCCTTGATAGGTAGGATCTGCGTATGTGTATATATATATATATCTACATGCATAGGAGCCAAAATGATCAATAAATTGATCGTGGGCCCTTAAGATATAGAAGAAGAAGAATATATATATATATATATATATATATGTGTGTGTGTGTGTAAATTTAATTATTTTTTTTTTGTACTGATGAAGGCATGAGCCAAAATGTATACTTGTGTATTCTGTAAAATTACTATTCAGCTTATCTTTTCTTGTTATATTGACACAAATTATTTTAGTCTATTTAATCTATTTCATGAAAACATGTATTTCGTTTAATGACAATGTAATCGTTTAATGTATAAACTATATTTTGGGTTTAGTGTACTCACTTTGTCTTGGTGTTAATTGCGCTGGGGCACAATGCCCCCCCCCCCCCACTTGGTGTTTTGCCCGAAAGATCTCTGGTAGAGAATAGAAAAAAGGGCACAATGCCCCCCCCCCCCCACTTGGAGTTATGCCCGAAAGATCTCTGGTAGAGAATAGAAAAAATATTACGCTTTTATGATTGATTTTATTTTTAAGATTGCATTCTATAAATTTTTTCACATCCTCTAGTCTTGGTTTTTTAAAACCAACTTTCAGAAACAACAATGGCGATCAATTAAGTTCTCTATTTCTGTCATATTTCATATCTCCTGTCTGTTGAGGAATGCTTTTATGCGATTAGTCATTGTCTTATTGTCCTGGTTAATATTTCAAGCTACCACATACTAAGTTCTACTACTTCATCATTTTTTAAAAAAAAAACATTTATTGTCACTAATAAACGTTTTTTTAGGAAAATATCGATTGCGTTTCCTAAATATTATATCGATATTTAAGGAACGAATTTTATTTTTAGATACAGTTTAATTTCTCTTTTGTTATAGAAATGTATTTTAAATATTTTTCAATGCATAAGATTGTTCCTATACTCATTAGATTTCTCATTAATATGTATTTATTTATTGATTTATTATTTTTTTACGAAGATAAAACCTTTAATTTTAATATTTTAAAATAGAAATATATTTGTTTTTAAATTTACTTAACCAACGTTGCCTAGCCCTTTTCCAAATGATACAAGTGGATTATAACGTCTTATTTTAAGCAGTAGTCTACATGAAATCGATCCCTACACATTGGGATATAAAACGAATTTAACTATATGGTTTTTCTTTATTTTTTTGGAATATTAAATTATGTATATTATACGGCATCCCTGCATCTTCACCTAATGTTAGTGTTACGACCTTTATTTAATAACTTGAGGCCTTCATCAAATGTCGCGGCCTTCTTAATACTTGACATGTTGAACACTTCACAGGATTCGGCAACAAGCAGTTTTAGGAAACTAGCAGGGTATGGCAACCAGTAGGGTACGGCAACCAGCAGGGTACTGCTACAAGCTGGGTACGGCTACAAGCAGGGTAAGGCAACCAACAGGTTATGGCAGCCAGCAGGATAAGACAGCCAGCAGGATACGGCAACAAACAGGATACGGCAACACACAGGGTACGGCAACACACAGGCTTTTGCAACCAGCAGGCTTCGGGGACCAGCAGGGTTGTTTCAGTTTTAGATGGGCCCCCAAATGTTACGACCGTTATTTAATAACTTGAGGCCTTCATCAAATGTTGCGGCCTTCTTAATACTTAACATCTGAGGATCTTCGTCCTTACACTTC